ACCACTCAACCACTAGATGTCGCTGAAAACAAATCCTACACACTGTGCCTTTAAAAGATGAATGAACCAATTGGCGGGCCGGACTTTGGTCACTCACGGGCCGGATTTGGCCCGTGGGCCGCCAGTTGAATAACCCTGGTCTAATGTTACAACTAATCAGGAATTAAGACTAAAAACAAAACAGAGGCGACTGAAGATTTCAGAATCTGTGGAGCATGAAAAGTTTCTCAGTCTAACGTCTGTGTTTTTGAGGGACTCTGCAGGTTTTAGCTGATCTGTTTCTTGTCTGTTTCAGTTCTCGGTGGCGCAGGACGGAGGCCTRCAGGTGGACGATCACATGAGGACGTCTGAGCCAGACGTGTACGCAGCGGGAGACGTGTGCACTGCATGCTGGGAGCACAGCCCTCTGTGGCACCAGGTGAGACCACCTCACCGCTGTTTTAACTTGTCAGCTTCTGCAGCGCTTTACAACCCAGCGATCAGCCAAAAGCTAACCAGAAGCTAAGAGGGGATCGGGCCKTTTGTTGGTGCTGCTCTGGACGTTTCGTCTTTTTGTTGTCCTCAGATGCGTTTGTGGACTCAGGCCCGTCAGATGGGTTGGTACGCGGGCCGCTGCCTGGCGGCCGACGTCCTCTCAGAACCCGTCGAGCTGGACTTCTGCTTCGAGCTCTTCTCGCACGTGACCAAGTTCTTCAACTACAAGGTGAGCAGCGAGGGTTAAATAGTAACGGCGGGTGGATGAATCATCTACTCGGGCTGTTTTTCTCAGCGCTGCGGCGGTTCTGCTCTTTGGACAGGTGGTCCTGCTGGGGAAGTTTAACGCTCAGGGTCTGAGGTCCGATCACGAGCTGCTGGTCCGCTGCACCAAAGGCCAGGAGTACGTCAAGGTCAGGGATCCGACAGATCGACACGTTACGGGCTTTTATTGTGAAGGAAACTCTAGCTGCAACAAGCTGGTTTGTGTCTGGATGATGAGATTAAATGATAGAATCCAGCTGATAATCCCTCCTGGTTCTGAGCTCCGGTTTCCAAAACCTCCCAGACTCRCTCCAGAGCTGACATTCAGTTCATAAAACTGTTCGACATTTTATTCTGCAGCACCAGGATCATCGTTTCCTCCTCTGAGGCGCTGAGACCAGCAGTTACATAACCGTTACCCTGAAACCTGAGCCGGTCAGAACCCAGTCCAGACCCGCAGCTGAAAACAGCTGACAGAACAGAACCGGCGGGGCCTCATCTTTAAGAGGAACCAAAGAGTCATTTTCTGTAAATGTATTATAATCTGTCACCTCCTCAAGGTTCTGATACGAGCCTGGAAGGATTTTCCAGGTCTTTAAAATAACTGAGATATAATTCAGATTTACTAAAAAGAAAAAAAACTTTTCAGGTTTATTATGAATTTTAAACATGGATTTAGAGAGTCTGTGTTTGGAAACAAAAAAAGCTTAAAATATGTTTTCTGTGAATATTAGTGACTGCTGAAACTTTCTGAAGCTGTTAAAGCTCAAAAGAACAGTAGCTAAAACCTAAAAGTAGCTAAAGGATAACTAAAACTTAAACGTAGCTTAAGTTAGCTAGAAACTAATAGTAGCTAAAGGCTAGTGAAAACTTAGAAGTAACAAAAAGCTAGATGGAACTAAAAAGTAGCTAAAGAAAGCTAAAATATTAAGTTAGCAAAAGGCTAGCTAAAATCTAAAAGCAGCTAAAGTAAGCTAGAACCTAAAAGTAGCTAAAGGATAACTAAAACTTAAACGTAGCTTAAGTCAGCTAGAAACTAAAAGCAGCAAAAGGCTAGCTAAAACTTAGAAGTAACAAAAAGCTAGATAGAACTTGAAAGTAGCTAAAGAAAGCTAAAATATTAAGGTAGCAAAAGGCTAGCTAAAATCTAAAAGCAGCTAAAGTAAGCTAGAACCTAAAAGTAGCTAAAGGATAACTAAAACTTAAACGTAGCTTAAGTCAGCTAGAAACTAAAAGCAGCAAAAGGCTAGCTAAAACTTAGAAGTAACAAAAAGCTAGATAGAACTTGAAAGTAGCTAAAGAAAGCTAAAATATTAAGGTAGAAAAAGGCTAGCTAAGCCCTAAAATGGCTAAAGTAAGCTAGAACATAAAAGTAGCTAAATGATATCTAAAACTTAAACGTAGCTTAGGTTAGCTAGAAACTAAAAGCAGCAAAAGGCTAGCTAAAACTTAGAAGTAACAAAAAGCTAGATAGAACTTGAAAGTAGCTAAAGAAAGCTAAAATATTAAGGTAGAAAAAGGCTAGCTAAGCCCTAAAATGGCTAAAGTAAGCTAGAACCTAAAAGTAGCTAAATGAAAACTAAAACTTAAACGTAGCTAGAAACTAAAAGTAGCAAAAGGCTAGCTAAAATGTAGAAGTAACAAAAGGCTAGAAAGAATGTAAAAGTAGCTAAAGAAGGCTAAATCTTTAAGGTAACAAAAGGCTAGCTAAAACCTAAAAGTAGCTAAAGGATAATGAAAACTTAAACGTAGCTTAAGTTAGCTAGAAACTAA